GTGTAAATGTTGTTTGTAAAACAATGCACACTTTTTATTATGGGTATATCTAGAATGAGAGTGCTGGGTCTTAGAGTATACATATGCTTACCTTTATATATTTTTCAAACAGTTTTCCGAAGTGGTAATACCAGCTCTAATTGTACTTGTAAAACACTTGTACACTTGCTTTTTTGTCTTTATTAGCTTAGACATTCTGGGTGGCATATAGCAGTATCACATTTTGGTTTTAATTTGCATTTCTCTGCACGCTAATGAAATGAGCACATTTTCACAAATGTATTAGACATTTGGATATTCTGATTTTTGAGCTGTTATTTTAAGGTGTTCACTCATTTTTCTATTGGATTGGCTTTTTCTTATTAATTTGTAAAAGTTATTTATACTCTATGGATACAAATCACTTCTCAGATACACGTTACAAAAACATTTTCCTAGTTTGGGGCTTGCTTCTTTATTCTTTTGATGATATCTTTTGAAGAATAGAAGTTTCTGATATTAAAAAAATACAATTTGTAATATTTTTTGAATCCTTGTTATTAGTCCTTTTTGTGTCCTTTTCAAGAACACTGCCTACTCCAAAGTCACAAAGACAACTTCCTGTGTACTTTGCATTAGAACAATATTTCTACCTTTCTCATTTAGATCTGCAATCCACTGGGAGTTTATTTTTGTGTATTAATTAAGGTGGAGTTAACAAATATTTTTCACACATGGATATTCAACTGAAACAATATTTCTACACTTCTCATTTAGATCTGAAATCCATTGGGAGTTTATTTTTGTGTATTACTTAAGGTGGAGTTAACAAACATTTTTCACACATGGATATTCAACTGATCTGCTATGACTTAAAAAAAATCCTTATCCACTTCACTGTCATCTTTGCCATAAATCAAGGATAGTATGTGTAGGTAAGTTTCACATGTGTGTGTGTGTGTGTGTGTGTGTGTGTGCCTGAATGTATATATATATATGTTAATATTTGAGACAATATCATACTATTTCTTCACTATAGCATTGTATTAAGCTTGGTATCTTGTATGGAAATCTTGGAGTGCTCTTCTTCAAAGTTGTCTTGGTTATATTTGGTTCTTTATTTACATTTTCATATACAAAGCTGGGGTTTTGCTTGTCAACAGAAAAATAATCTGCTGAGATTTTATATGGATTGCATTGAATTTATGGATCAATTTTACAATAATTGACAACTTTAAAATATTGTGTTCCAATCCATATTTCTACACTTATTTAGGTCTTCTTTAATGTTTTTCAAAATTATATTATAATTTTCAGTGTAGAGGTCTTGCAAGTATTTAATTAGGCTTTTCCTATTTGACTTTTAGTCACCTTTATTCAGTATAATTTACATACAATAAGATACATAGGCATTTTAATTATACAGTTCAATGATTTCAACAAACATTTGCCAGTGGAGTCACTACCCCATCAAGATAGAGAACATTTCCCTCAGCTGAAAAAGCTCTGTTACGCCCCTTTTACAGTCAGAAAAATAACAAGTTTCAAGTCAGGCAAACATTGTTTTAATTAAATTTACATCAATATAATTTAGTTTTGCCTGTTCTCAGTTCAGTTCAGTCACTCAGTCATGTCCAACTCTTTGTGACCCTATGGACTGCAGCACGCCAGGCTTCCCTGTCCATCACCAACTCCTGGAACATGCACAAGCTCATGTCCATTGAGTTGGTGATGCCATCCAACCATCTCATCCTCTGTCGTCCCCTTCTTCTGCCTTCAATCTTTCCCAGCATCAGGGTATTTTCCAAGGATTCAGTTCTTCGCATCAGGTGGCCAAAGTATTGGAGCTTCAGCTTCAGCATCAGTCTTTCCAATGAGTATTCAGGACTGATTTCCTTTAGGATGGACTTGTAGTCCAAGGGACTCTCCAAGAGTCTTTGGTCCAACAGCACAGTTCATAAGCATCAATTCTTCGGCACTGAGCTTTCTTTGTTGTCCAACACTCACATCCATAACAGGACTACTGGAAAAACCATAGCTTTGACTAGACTGACCTTTGTTGGTAAAGTAATGTCTCTGCTCTTTAATATGCTGTCTAGGTTGGTCATAGCTTTTCTTCCAAGAAGCAAGCGTCTTTTAATTTCATGGCTGCAATCACCATCTGCAGTGATCTTGGAGCCCAAGAAAATAAAGTCTGTCACTGTTTTCATTGTTTCCCCATCTATTTGCCATGAAGTGATGGAACCAGATGCCATGATCTTCATTTCCTGAATGTTGAGTTTTAAGCCAGCTTTTTCACTCTCCTCTTTCACTTTCATCAAGAGGCTCTTACGTTCTCTGCTTTCTGCCATAAGGGTGGTGTCATCTGCATTCCTGAACTTATTCATATTTCTCCCAGCAATCTTGATTCCAGCTTGTGCTTCATCCAGCCCAGCATTTCGCATGATGTACTCTGCATATACGTTAAATAAGCAGGGTGACAATATACAGTCTTGATGTACTCCTTTCCCAATTTGGAACCAATCTGTTGTTCCATGTCAGGTTCTAATTGTTGCTTCTCGACCTGCATACATATTGTCTTTTCTAGAACTTTATATAAATGGAATCATGCAGAATGCACTATTTTGTATCTGGTAACTCTCCTTATATATGATATTTTTTCAGATGCATCTCTGTCATTGCTTGTACCAGTACTTTGTCCCTTTCTATGGCTTCAAAGTATTCTAATGCATGAATGCATCACAATTTTTTTATTCATTTCTTGATGGACTTTTGGATTGTATCCATTTAGGGGCTATAATTAATGGAATTGCTATGAGCATTCCTGTGCAAATTTTTCTGAGGAAATATATTTTAAATTCTGTTTGGGAAAATTCCTAAGAGTGGAATTTTCAGGACATATGGTTAAGTGTTAAGTCTAACTTTTCAAGAAACTGTTAAAATCTGTCAAGGTGATTGAACTTCTTACCAGCAGTGAATGAGAATCCCAGTTGTCCATATCCTCAAAAATACTTAAGATTGTCAGACTCTGATGAGTATGTGGTGATATTTTATTCTGTATTTTTTTTTACATTTTCTTGATGATTGAGGTTGAGCATCATTCTATGAGCTCATTGGTAATTGATATATGTACTTTTGTGAGATTTTTGTTCATTCTGATCTTTTTTTAAAATTTTCATATATTATTTATTTTGATCATTTTTAATTGCATTGCTACCTTCTTATTTTTAAATTTGGGTCCTTTATACATCTTCTGGATACAAACCTTTTGTTTGTTACACATATTATAAATATTTTCTCCCAGCTTCCCATTTCATTTTTTAACCATATCTTTCAAAAAGTAGAAGTTTTTAATTTTGGTAAGTCCAGTGTCTGTATACTCCACTATCTGTACAATTACATTGTAAGTCTAGAACTTAGATAACACAATTTTCCAGATTTGTGTTTTTCTTTTCAAAATTATTTTGCCTGTTCTAGGCCCTTTGTATTTCCATATAAATTTGGGGGGAGGGTAAGTTTGTCAATTTTGGAGAATGAAATGGCAACCCATTCAAGCATTCTTGCCCGGGAAACATCGTGGACAGAGGTGCCTGGTGGGTTATGGTCCACGGGGTCACAAAGAGTCGGACATGACTTAGCAACTAAACAACAACAAAGTTTATCAATTTATATGAAGTTGCCTGCTGCAAGTATGATTTTGACAGCACTAAATTTATGGTGCTTTAGTCGCTAAGTCATGTCTGACTTTTGCCACTCCATGGACTGGCTCCTCTCTCCATGGGATTCTCCAGGTAAGACTACTGGAGTAGGATGCCATTTCCTTCTCCAAGGGATCTTCCCCAACCAGGAATGGAAGCCAGGTCTCCTGCATTGCAGGCAGATTCTTTACTACCTGAGCTACAAGGGAGGCACTGAATTTATAGATCAACTTAAAGAGAATTAATATCTTAACAGTACTGAATTTCTTGATCAAAGACCACGGTTCATCTTCACATTCATTTTGATTTTAGCTTTTTTCGGTGGTGTTTTGTAGTTTTCAGTGTATGAGTTTTCTTCATGTTTTCTTAAATTTATCCCAATTCCAATTGTTCATTGCTAGCATACAGGATCACGACTGAGTTTCTGTATAACTACAAGTGTGCTAAATTAAATTTTTAGTTCTACAGTAGGTTTATTGTAGATGCCTCAGGAATTTATCAACATATGATCATGCCGTTTGCAAACAGACATACTGACTTTTGAATCAGAAATTTGTGATGGAGTTTCTGCTGTTCTTTTAGCTCTGAAAAACAAACAAGGCTCTGCTGTATTACACACTTATTGGCTCACTTCATGGAAGGGCCTCATGAATCTAGGGGACCCTCAGAAGAGGAACCATCAGCTGCCCTGTCCTTTTCCAAGTTCTAAAAATGTAGCTGCCTGTAGAGTCTATATTTATATAACGACTTAGCAGAAGAAACAGGTGGTTGGTTTCTTTTCACCAAACTTTAACCCCTTTTCAAATAAAAACCACGATGTATTTCCTTTTTAAAAAGTACATTGACTCTTGTTTAAAATAAAGGGAAGGGAACAAAACACAGAGATATTAAGAATTTTTCAAAATCCAGACTCCTAGGCTCTTTTCAGGACCTATTTCTTCAATCCGTTTTAGTGGAGGAAAAGAGAGACTGGAAGCAAAGACAGCAGGTGGAAGGAGGGTCCTGGGAACAAGAGGGAAAACTCAAGTCTTCAGCAGAGAAGTAGGCATGGCCATCGGCCCCCTGGGAAGGTACTGCCCTTCCGAGGCCAGAAGAGAAAGACCCAGGAACAAATGAAGAAAGGAGAGCTCTGACGCCAGCTCCTGGACAAGTGTCACGGGGCCGGGTGGTGGTAGGCGGGGTGGGTGGGTAAGAGTGGGGTGCAAGGGGAGGTGTCCCTGCTGGCTCCGGCTCTGAGAGACCCCAGCTCGGGGCAGAAGAGGTGGGGTGAGGGCGTGGCCTTCCGCGGTGACGAATGCCCCACGTGACCGGGCGGCGCCGTCTTGCACGCCCAGCTCTTGCGTCAGACCCGACGGTCACCCGCTCGCTTCTAGGTACCTGCTCCGCCTGGCCCTGAGGGGAGTGCGGGCCAGGGCGGCCCCCAAGAGTGGCAGGCACGAGGGGAACAGGTAAGGGACCCGGAGTGGGATCCGCAAAGGTGGCGTGGGCGAGCGGACGCGGCCTGTGGACCCTTCCTTGGGGGGCCTTCTGGCCGCCGAAAGCGGCAGGCCTTTCCGGGAGCTGAGGTTGGGAACGGGCCGGGAGACCTTGGGGCAGTAGCCCCTTGCGAACACCTGCCTCTCGCACCGTAGCAAGCTTTCCCCACAGCCCCGCCCCACCCCCGATCTTCTCGGGGTAGAAAAAATGGTGGTCGGTGCCGGGTGTTGGGGCTGGGAAGGGGGCGGCTGAGCGTGGGAGCGGGGCACACTGGGTGGGGGTGGCTGGGGGTAGGGGATCCGGGGCCGGGAGGGGGCCGAGCGCCCGGCTGCAGTAGCCTCCTGCCCCCACCCCGACCCTCTGCAGGTCTGCGAGTCAGAAGTGTTTCGGCGGCACACTTGCAGCAAGAATCGGGAGGAGCAGGAGACAGCAAGGATAGGCCCAGGTCGGTGCGAGGGACAGTTGGGCGGTGGGAGGAACGAGGGGGAAAACCCTAAGACTCCAAATGCTTCCTGCAACCCCGTCCTCCATTTTGATGCCTGCAGAGACCTGGGCCTGGATCGGCAGGCAAAATGGTGGGTTTGGGGCGCGGGACGGGGGCAGTGCTCGGACTGGGGGCCCCCTAGAGGGCGTAGGAGGCCTCTCAGGTGGGCAAAGGAAAAGTTGAAAAGCCTTTGACCACAAGAAATGGGAATATTGAGAGGTGCGTAGTAGGGCCTCTGTCCTCGGTGCTGATCATTCCACCCAGAAAATAGTCCCTTGTTGCATCTTTTGTCTCCTAGGAGCAATGGCGTCCAAAGAGAAACAAGCAGTAAAAATTTGCAACATGGAAGATGCCAACCAGGAGAATGAAAAAAAAGATGGAAAGGATCAAGATGTTAATAAAAGAGAACCTATGGCCCTCCTTTCGGGTGCTAGTGAATATTCTGTACCTAGAGGAACTCGTAGGCGGTTCCGTGTTAGGCAGCCCATAATACATTATAGATGGGACGTGACTCAGAGGCTTGGAGAGCCACAGGCGAGGATGAGAGAAGATAATATGGAAAGGATTGGGGAAGAGGTGAGGCAGCTGAGGGAAAAGCTGAGGGAAAAACAGTTGAGTCATAGTCTGCGGGCAGTTAGCATTGACCCCCCTTACCATGAGCATCATGATGAGTTTTGCCTTATGCCTTGAATCCTGATGTTTTCCGTGAAGTTAGGAGACACTTACTTCCTAAACTTACATGTTCTTGACTTACCTTTGTTGTAAACGTTTTGGTGTTAAACTTGTTTATTGCGCGTTTCCTATTACCAGCTTCTAATTGTTGTGTTTTTGACCCAGTCTCTAAGTTTCTGTCACCAGGAAAGTTTTAACTGTTGCATGGAGAAATGTTCATTATATATTGTGAATTAATAAAACAGTTTAAAAAAGCATCTTTTCCCATAAAATCGTATATGTTTTATATATGAACACACCATCTAAGAATATATAAAGTAACAGTATCTATTTATGGTAGAACTATGAATAATTTTAATTTTCTTATCTTTATTTTCTCCCTCTTTTTTTGTTTGTCTGCATTGGAAAATTCCCAAATGATGCTGATTGGAATACTAGATCTTACCTTTTCAGTATCACAGTCACAGATAATTTCTTGTGTTTTTCACAGAAATGGAAAGCCATGTTCATTGTCTATCAGATTTATCAATTTAGAACTGTCAGAGGGCATCCTCATTTTAAAGATTTGAGGTCCTGGTGACTCACATGTTACACCCTCCATGTACTAACTTTTTTTTCTTTTTGGCCATGTTTTGCAGCTTGTGGGATCTTAGTTCCTTGACCATAGATTGAACTGGGGCTGCAGCAGTGAAAGTGCCAAGTCTTAACCACTGGACTGCCAGGGAACTCCCTCCATTTTCTCAGTTTTCAAAATAATACATATTAAGGAAAGAGCTTGTTGACTACCTGATGAAAGTAATGTGAGCACTTCTAAGTACTTATGACAAAATCTGGTTTTTAGGTTACCTCAATCTCTTATTTAGAAGTATAAACCTAATGATGATGAGACATACCTCTTTAAAAATCATAATGTTTCTCAGCAAGATGAATATAATAATCACCTCCCAAGCCTTTTGTGTGCACTTGATGAGGCAATAAGTCTGTAAGCTTTCTTTAAACTCTTAACTGCTGCTGGGAGATGCATGACCCAACCCTTTAGATACTACCTTCAGTTATTTGAGGGAAGTTCCCAAAGCCGAGTTATCCCTATACTCACAAACAAGTTCAATAGGCTAAAGGGTAAGTAGGTACTTCCATTCCTCTGCTGTTGTGCCCCATTTCCACCTTCTTCCCAGGGTGTTGATGTACAAGGGGTCCTTAAGGTGAGAAAGTCCTACTATGTCTCTGGAATTCCAAATGAATCCTCACTCTGTTCCATAAACTGTGCATAAATCCCTTCTCTCTGTTATGCTTCCTGGAAAGACCCCGTCTTTCCCAAGTGCCTTCCCAAGAAATCTCTCTGTTTATGATACTATGCAAGATGTGTGAGGGAACAGCTCACTTAACAATTTGAGCAAGTCCCTCCTCACATCACCCTCGTGAAACCTATGAAAGTAAAAAATTATCCTATATTGAGTCCACGGGGTCGCAAGGAATTGGACATGACTAAGTGATTGAGCAACAATATTGAGTTAGATTCCAGGAGATCATGTCAGTGAATTCAGGAGATAACCAACTGTGGACATCTTTATGAGAAGATTGATTGGAGGACTATTGGATTAGTGTCCCAAAAGAAAATTAAATTGCCATGCAGTGTGCTAAGTAGGTGAAATACATAAGTATGAAGAGAGTCTTCTGTGGAAATAAACTTAGAAGTTAGGATTCTAGAACAGAACTTGGCAAACCATAGCCCATGAGCCAAATCCATCCTCCTGCTTATTTTTTTTGGCCAATGAGCTAAGAATAAATTTTACATTTTTTAGTGGTTGAAAAATATTTTGTGACATGTAAAAATTATATGAAATTCAAATGTTGGTATCCATAAAGCTTTATTGGAATACAGACATATTTATTAATTTATATATTATCTATGGTTGGTTTTGGCTTACAGTGGCAGAAATGAGTAGTTGTGAAGAGATGGTATGGCCCACTTGTAAAGCCTGCATACTTATTTGGCCCTAATAGAGAAAGTTTGGTTGGTTGTTGCCTGAGCTTCTTACATGGAGCCTAACCACTCACATACTACACCATTAGATACCCTTTCATATCCAAACACTCTGTTAAGAGCCAAGGGAAGGTGGTTTATAGCATTCTGTCCAGAGACTAGAATCCTAAACTCATCCTTCTCTGAGGCTGACAGGGCACCTTGGATCTACCTATACACAAAGAGATGTACACCTGTACACCTATACCCCCCGCTCTAGAATATAGCATCACAAGAGAACTTACAAATCCAAAGGGGAAAATGGCTAGGCAGGTGAAAATGGCATGTAACACAGCAAATCCCAGACATCATGAATCGGATGCCTAATCAATTTCAAAGCCCTTCCTCCTCTAGGTGCTTGAGACACAGGTATATACATATGAGACAAATTTATAAAGAGAAAGGCTAAAGTTGAAAAGACAGGAAAACAAATGAACAGAGAGGCTTATGCCCATCAGACTTCTCACTCTTTTTCTTCTTTTTTAAAAAACTGTATATTTTGGGCCACACCATGCCACATTCAGGGTCTTAGTTTCCCCAACCAGGAATTGAACCCACACCCTCTGCAGTGGAAGCACGGAGTATTAACCACTGAATTGTCAGAGAAGTCTTTTAGACTTATCAGTCTTGACTGCCAATGTTTGCACCAACTTCTATGGAAAACAGAAGCATTTTCTTGGCCTAAGGATATTCAGCATTTCCTTCATGAAGAGAAATTGGAAGCTCATGTGTGAGTGAATTTATAGTATATATTTGATAGAAGGTTAGACATGCATATACCCCCAAAACTGTACGTCTCTTTGTGTACAGGTAGATCCAAGGTGCTCTCTCAGCCTCAGAGAAGGATGAGTTTAGGATTCTAGTCTCTGGACAGAATGCTTTCTGTTAACCACCTTCTCTTAGCTCTTAACAGAGTGTTTGGATCTGAAAGGGCATCTAATGGTGTAGTATGTGAGTGGTCAGGCTCCATGTAAGATGCTCATGCAACAAACAACCAGCAGAAAGTGATCAAAAGACAATAAGGAAACTGGGCATGGAGTTCCCTTGAAGGGAACAGCCATATCTAAGACCTGGCTGTATTTGCTTATTGACATCATTTCTATGTGGCAAGCTTCCTTTTCTCCCTCAGTGGCCATTCTTCACAAAGTTCAGTTCAGTTCAGTCGCTCAGTCATGTCGGACCCTTTGCGACCCCATGAATCACAGCACGCCAGGCCTCCCTGTCCATCACAAACTCCCGGAGTTTACTCAAACTCATGCCCATCGAGTCGGTGATGCCATCCAGCCATCTCATCCTCTGTCGTCCCCTTCTCCTCCTGCCCCCAATCCCTCCCAGCATCAGGGTCTTTTCCAATGAGTCAACTCTTCGCATGAGGTGGCCAAAGTATTGGAGTTTCAGCTTCAGCATCAGTCCTTCCAATGAACACCCAGGACTGATCTCCTTTAGGATGGACTGGTTGGATCTCCTTGCAGTCCAAGGGACTCTCAAGAGTCTTCTCCAACACCACAGTTCAAAAGCATCAATTCTTCGGTGCTCAGCTTTCTTTACAGTCCAACTCTCACATCCATACATGACCACTGGAAAAACCATAGCCTTGACTAGACGGACCTTTGTTGGCAAAGTAATGTCTCTGCTTTTTAATATGCTGTCTAGGTTGGTCATAACTTTCCTTCCAAGGAGTAAGCGTCTTTTAATTTCATGGCTGCAATCACCATCTGCAGTGATTTTGGAGCCCCCAAAAATAAAGTCTGACACTGTTTCCACTGTTTCCCCATCTATTTCCCATGAAGTGATGGGACCAGATGCCATGATCTTAGTTTTCTGAATGTTGAGCTTTAAGCCAACTTTTTCACTCTCCTCTTTCACTTTCATCAAGAGGCTCTTTAGTTCTTCTTCACTTTCTGCCATAAGGGTGGTGTCATCTGCATATCTGAGGTTATTGATATTTCTCCCGGCAATCTTGATTCCAGCTTGTGCTTCTTCCAGCCCAGCGTTTCTCATGATGTACTCTGCATATAAGTTAAATAAGCAGGGTGACAATATACAGCCTTGACGTACTCCTTTTCCTATTTGGAACCAGTCTGTTGTTCCATGTCCAGTTCTAACTGTTGCTTCCTGACCTGCATACAGGCTTCTCATGAGGCAGGTTGGGTAGTCTGGTATTCCCATCTCCTTCAGAATTTTCCACAGTTTATTGTGATCCACACAGCTGAAGTCTTTGGCGTAGTCAATAAAGCAGAAATAGATGTTTTTCTGGAACTTTCTTGCTTTTTCGATGATCCATCGGATATTGACAATTTGATCTCTGGTTCCTCTGCCTTTTCTAAAACCACAAAAGGGATAGACAAATTCTTCTCATAAATACCTAAAAAATCTAGCAAAGAGAAGACAGTGAGATTAGAGAGTGTGCCCTTTGTTATCAAAGAAAAGGGTGTTCAAAAAAGTTTTGAGATGTAGCTATGGATTGGGTCATTGAAATTTTAGTATATCATGTATATCTAGTAGATATCTGATGAATGAAAAACTAAGTGAGTATAGATTTAGTGTTTGTCAGCAAATGACCAACAAGGATACATGTTTGAATCCTTATGCATTTCAATAAAATTTAAATAATAATATTGATAATATAACGTTTGACTACAAATAATTGCTGGATTTTTTTCTTAAAAAAATAAAATCTATTGAAGGAAATTTGGACAATAAACTTAAGGGCCACCTTGTGACCAAAGAAAGCTATGCAGTTTGAATTTTCTAGCCAGAGGCAGAGCAAGAATAGTGTACAAACACTGGACTCTTTCAGCAAGTCCAGATACATATGAAGTGCACTTTGGTTAGAAGTGAAAACAAGTCCTGAAAAATTAACCATCATTTGAAACATCAAGCCACACTTATGCTTCAAATGAAAATAGAGCAACAGGGACTGGATTTACATCCCTATAACTGAAAAAAACAAAAATGTGGACAAAATATATAAAGCAATAATTGTCAGTTACTGAACATTAGACAGTGGAGGGAAAAGTTTTCTGAGAGTGGGGTAACAATATGAGCCTTCAAATTGCCCCCAACTTACTATGTATTATAGGATTTACAACACATGTAGGAGTGAAATATATGTCAATAGTAGTACAAAGGCCAGGAGGTGGGGAATAGGCATACACAATTTTAAAGTTTCTTATTCTATACCTTAATATCACTTGAAGGTAGATTCTGAAATGTTAAAAATGTATATTACCA